CGTGCCACTGAATGCAATCACCATCCCTCCCCATGGAAATCATGTGAATGAAACCACACACAGCCATTACGTGCCAGAACAACCTCACAGCCAACCTGCTGTCAGTGAGAGAATACTTTCACCCCCTCCCCCCCACAGTTTCTGATCTCATCCTCAAAGAAATACGGTAAAGACATGGAGGAGATGAGCTGGGGAATGAAAGTTCTTACCTCCGATAGCTACTGAACACCTCTGTCTCAATAAAGATAATGGTTTTATGGCATGTTACAATTTTTCTTGTGCTTCACCTCGGCTAACCGCTCCATGTTGTTCAGGTGATAGTGACCTGTGTGTTTCTCTCTCTGTCCCACAGGGGCAAACGACCTTATCACCTCTTCCTTTGCTAACAACCCCCTCTGCTCCGCAGGTACCAACCACCCTTTTGCCTTTAATTGATTAACTTAAGCTAAATTTGAACAATTATTTTCAAGCTGCGCCTAGTCTGCTGCTGAAGAAGGGCTCGTGTGCTTGAAAGCTTGTCTGTTTTTTCCAGCTAAACCAGTTGGTCTACTAAAGGATGACTACCTCCTCCTATGAACCTGGCCCTGCTTAAGCGTACCTGTGACCCGTTGCGGCACTGTGCTGCAGTGCTGCGTACGGCGCTCGTTCGGTCTTTCCTCCCTCAGCAAGCTTTACGGATAGAACTAATTATCTGGGTAGCTGAAACGCAAAGCGCTCCCCCGCTGCTATTGCAAACACTAACACGAAAACCACAGCCCCACAGACTTCCTTTCACTGGAGTACGTTATTGTAAGCACGCCGTTAAAGCGTAACTTCTTTTCTTTCCTGAAGGTCCATGTAAATTTGCTTCTGGTAGAAGCTCGGATGCAAGCCGAACTACTTTATGCTCTGAGAGCTATTACTCGCTATATGACCTGATGTCTCCGGCTGCCTGTCGACGTTCGAATGTTCTGCAGCTGCAGTATGGCAGAGGAAGATACGAAGCCTCAGGACCAACGGTAGCTATAAGTTAAGATGCCCATTGTGCCATAACTCCTTTAGTTTCAGCTATTTCCGTGTTTGGAACATCACTGCTGCCACTCGGCAGTGAACGCTTGGCAGTTGACAGGGTTGTGCAGAAGTGCTGCCTGCGCATGGTATTTTGGCTTTAGACAGCACGGGACACTCTATGAACTTGTGGCAATATAGCAAATGATAGATATATAGATCTTGTGTTAAGGCAAATACTACGGGAGTTGGAGCGTGAAAAGAAGCGGGACTTGATGACATTTGCTTTCCCTACGAGAATAATTTTAGAAAATCTTGATGCTGCTATTTGTGCTGGTGGAGTGAACAGACACGGGCTGTTCCAGTTAAGCTAAAAGTGAAAGTGAGCACTGCTATTGTCTGAGCCTTTATTGTGTGTGGTTTCAAAAAAGCCTTGTTATTTAGATTTCTTTTTTAATCGGAACTAAACCTTTTCTGTCCACACTGATAATTTGAAAGATAGCAGTCAATTCTCTCAAATAGTTTAGCCTTAAAATGCTACAGGACATTTGTTCAGCATTATTTGGTGAGCTCCAAAGTGCAATGGTCTTCCTATGGAAAGAAGAGGACTCGAGTCCTCAGAGCTTCTGAGAGATCTAACTACGTGAAGGGTCGAGTGGCTCCTTGTCCTGTTTTTCAAGGATGAACCGATACCTGTTGAGGAGCTAGGACAAGGTGTGGGAATGTTGTTCTAGGCTGCCCAACAGTCCTACTGTATTACATGCCCAACGCTGGTCTTACTGATTTTTGCAGTTGCTTAAATAACTAGGCTAAAAACCATCTATTTTTAGTAAATCAAAACATGATTAAAATGCTGACGTTTAATATACAGTGGTTTTGGAGAACACATGAATACTTTTGTATGAGTGTGAATTGCTTTTTAAATTTGTCAGTATTATTGGTATTTTTTAAATAAAGGTAACAACTTTTTCCCTTGGCGTTTTTGTGTGGTTTAACTTTACGCTTCTGTTCTTTGAACGGGTAAGTAAACCAGGAAGACCATTTTAAAATGTTTGAAACAGTAACTGAGCAAACATACTTAAAATGACAAAGCATGACTTTTTCAACTGAGTCTAAAATGATGGGAGAAAACAACGTTTAAAAAACAGATTTAGATCTTTGCTAAAACTGCAGTAGGAACGCCTCTCATCTACTCCTGATGTTTTCATCCTTCCCACGGTCCTCCTCTATACCTCTTCTGGTATACTCTGTCGTATAGGGTTTCTCTTTCCTCACAGGTAATGGCTGTGATATGATTGGAGATTCCAACTGTATGCTTATATAATCGCTTATTTTCAATAACGAGGTCTAAATGTTATTTTGAGAGCTAAACTGATTTTAAAATCCTTCAGTAGTGAACTTTTAGTTCCCGATTAGGCTGCTAATTTCCAGAGGCTAGTGCCAAAAGGGGTATCTGGCATGAGAAGGACGGTCAGGTCTGTGCAGTCAGGCTGCAGAATGTATGGCAAGAGGCACCAGGAGGGGGGTTTCCTACAAGGGAGTGACAAACTCTTTTGGACACGCTCCTACAGCTGGCTTGTACACTCAAGTGTAGAAACTCCTGCCTGCTTACAGGAAGGTAGGAGCCTTATTTGTAAGGCAGGAAAGAAATGGATTTTCCCAAGCCCACAGGTAGAATTAAATCCAGATTTCTGTCCCCTGGCCTGGTTCTCAGTTAGCTCAGACTGGTTTCTCTTACTACAGAACATTCCGAGAACAGTTTTAAGCTTGCAGTCCAAGAAGGTAAAATATCTAAGATCTAGGGGAGAAAGAATAAACTGTCAAAAATTGTGACTAACAGGAAGCATCTGCTGTTTCCTCTTAACTAAAAATACAGGATTTTTAATGTTCCAAAAACAGAGCAAAACTTTCCTGTCTAAGGGCATACCGTAAAGCTAAGCTAGGCCTAATAAGGACACAGAAAAAGTGTCTTCCCAGTCTGTAAATGGAGTTTCTGCAGCACCTGATTCTCCTGCTGCTTTTTTGGGAGGGTCAAAGGTAGACATGAATTTTTCCGAGAAGCCTAAACTGGCCCTTTCCATCCTGCGCTCTCCAGACATAGGCAGGTACCTGCAGGCACTCGCTTCCTTTTCAAGCAGTACGCACTGCAGTGTGTGTGTGTCAGTGGCTTCATACGGTCACGTTTTCAAACAGAGCACTAACCACAACAAGCCAGGGGCAGGTGTGAGCTGCAGGCTGTAAGCCCCGATGGCTCCTGCAGAGCCTCAGCCTGTGGCTGCAAAGTGCAGCAGCTCATGTGTGCGCAGCAGCAACCTCTCATGCACCTCGGACGTTGCAAGCGCTAGTAGTATTGGCAACTCACCCCAAAAGACCGTGTGGGTGGGGGATCCTGCCCAAAAGGCCAGGCAACACATGGACGGAGAAGGTGTGCGCCAGTACAAGTGAAGGGACCTAAATGGCTGGTGGCTGTGTGGGCCCAGGCAGGACACTGTTTAAAAAAAAAAAAAAAAACAAACCCACACAGGATTTTCTTCTGAGTCTGTGCTTAGAGGAGTGTGGCAAAGCCATCTGCCCCGCGAGCCGCAATTAACAGCCCTCCCCAGCAGCCCTTGCCTTTCCATCTTCTTTGTAGGTTCAGTTCAAAACTTTGTGCATGTGTGTGTGCACACGCCCCACCCCAGATAAAAAAGAGCAGCGTGACAGAGGACAAGGACTTGGTCGCTAAACAGGACCGTGCTCCTGAAGTCAGAAGAGAGCTTCTGCATTGAGGTTTGTGGCAAAGACGCCCAAATGGTAGAAGCAGCCATAAGAATACAGCAGAAATTTAGCATTTTGGGGCTCATTCCTGTTACCCACAAGTTTCGGTCAGAGAAAGACATGGGCCTGTGCAGCTCCATGGGAGCCACTGCTGGGTGTTGCTGTTAGGTGCTCCGAGGCCTCTGCTGCCCTCTCTGCTCTACCCAGCACCTCTGAACGCGCCTCTTCCTGAAGCAGTCGCAGGCCAAACTCTGAACGCAAGGCCAGAGCTCACACACAGCGGCTGCCCCAGCTTTGCACTCTGCTACAGGATACCCAAATTTGCCCTGTGCTACAGGACACACTACACAGTGCTCCAGGCCCTTGTTTACAGTTTGATGGGTAATGACTGACATACATAACTAGCATTTTCTTTGAACAAATCTTGATGGCCTACAGAGCCACCTTGACTTGAGCAAACCATCCGTTTCAAGCTGCCTTCTGACAGATACTCGGCGCTTGTCAAGTCTGGTTAGACCTGCTGACAGGACTTGGCCACAAGGCCTCTTCCACTGCATCCCCACCCTGCACTACACAGCCTGGTGTTTGCCGGCCATTTGCCTCGACGCGAATGCCAAGAACAAATGCCTCTAGCTCCCTCCCCACAGGGGAGTACTTACCCATCGTCCTGTCTTTAATACCCCCAAAAAGCAAATCCGTTCTTTTTTCCAAGAAACAAATGGGGCATTGAAGCCATTTATCTTCCCCCTCAACTTCAGCTGAAATTAAAATGGCAAAAGAAGGAATGATAACTGACATCTTTCTGAGCTCAGCAGAGCTGTTGTTGGAGCCAAACTATACTGAACTGCTGAGCAGTTCTCTCCCGCGGATTGCAGCGATGGAGGCTGCCACGTGCGCTCCCTAAGTGACTCACTGCAGGGCTGAGCCTTGCTGGTCACAAGAAATACCCAAGCTGCTGGGACAAAAGGAACGTTGCAAATTTCATTACCTTCACTGAAGTTCCCTCCTCACCAGGACCATGAAATCTCCCCTCCCTGCCCCATCAACAGTAAAGAAGTCCCCAAGAATGTAGAAGCAGGGACCTAAACTAGGAAAAAACATTCCCTGCCCTTCTACCTCCACTCTACTTCCCAGCCTCCTCGCTTCGTCTCCTCACCTGGAAGCAGAGGTCCGGGCACTGCCAAAGGTACAGCGGTGCCACTCGGCGAGCTCTGAATGGCTGCCTCAGAAAAACACATTCCTCCAGCCTCTCTGCAGGGATTGCCAGGCTGGAGACTTGCTCTCCTGGCGCACACAGCACAGTGCGAGGCTGCTGACCCTCAGGATGGGAGCTGGGAGCCCGGCAGCCTCTGCACAGCGGTTTATTCTTAGTAATCTGAGGTCAGAAAAGAGACAAACGGGTCAAGTCTGTAAAGCTTTCCGTAGCTAATTGGACTGTTAACGCTTGAGGCCAGTGATGCACCTGCTGAGCTAATCCATGGGCTAAAAGCAGGGACTTCGGCACACTGAAAGGATGAAAACTGAGCAATAAACAAGCCAGCAGCAGTCGGAAGGAATGTGAAGGATGTAGAGCCCTTTTTTGCCCCGTGGATGGAGACACGAGCCCAGGGGAGACGGCTGGTCTGAGAAGTACAGGCGCACAGGTGGCTCCTGGGGACGTGGGAACAACTGAAAGAAGAACACGCCAGCCTAGCTCAAATCTTCTCTTCCATCAGGGATATGGGTGTTTTGCCTTAAGGTGTGAAGTCCCAATTCAGAAAAGCCTCTTTCCAGCACAGCTGGGCCTACGTCCCACAAGCACCAAGGCAGGAGCTGGGATACCCTAGCCACACAGTATCGGGTAAAGAAGGGGGGCTCCAAAGGAAAGGGGAGCGCCTTTCCCCCGACCATTGACAGCACTCAATCTGAAGAGCAAAGCTTATGATAGAACACAGCAGAATGCCCCAATAGCATTTGGGTTACTCTGTCGTGGAATTTCATATAAAGTAGAAGCGTGTCAAAGTCTGTAGGTAAGATGCGCCTCCTGCCATGTAACATTCTTTTACAGTGCACAGCATTTTTGGTACCGCAGAGGTCCAGGTAATCAGTGGTAATTTACCTTTTAAAAATTAAAAGTTCAGCAAATAGTTTTGTTTCATTTTCCCAGCCAAGAAATTACGCAATTAATAGACAAATCACACTCAACAGGTGCTTGATCAGCTCAAATATATTGTAAAAAGTAATTACACATGCAAAAATTTCATACATGCTTCTCGAAAGATAGTATCCAGTATATAAATGCCAGGCTTTACTGACTTTTTTAAAATTAACTTCCCGTGCTCTCTGACATGCTTACCGATGGCAATGTACAGGTATATTAGATACATAAAGCTGTACGATCTACACCACAAGAAAAAAAAAAAAAAGATTGATTAAAATGGAGTAATAGTCACAGTTGGAAGAAAGGAGTGATGGCTTTGAATTCTGTCAAGAAGTTTTTCTGCCACAGGTTTGAACTCTCTTTCCCAATATAGTTTGTTGTAGTCCCTCAAATCTCTGTCGAGGCTGTAATCCAACGCTAGCTCTTCATCTATAATCAAGGAAAATACCATCATCAGTTCTGAATAAAAATATACCCAACCACGTATTTTTTGAGCACAGCACATACAAGTTATCAGTTGTGTATGTTGATGGCTTAAAAAAACTCCATGTTTAACTAAGCGTCACTGTCTGAGGGACTTTAGCTTTAATGGAAAATAAAGAATGTTAAGGTCAGTAAAACAGTAAAAAGGGTACTGCAGGCTCTATTATTCTTACACCTCACAGGTGTAGCTAAACTGCATCTCCAAGATCAAGCATTTACTGTGACTGTCAGCCTGGAAACTACTCGGGTTGTAACATTACTCACAGCAGGTTTGCTAATGTAAGTAATCTATTCATCTAACTACTACAACTATGTTTTTCCTGTCACAAATTGCTTTGCTAATCCGGTTCATGAAGACTCTTTCAAACTGTATCTGCTCTCATAGGTGAAGAACATGAACCACACTGGTTACTGTGTTACTGATGCCCTCCCGTCCTCGCAAACTTCATAAATAATAGGACGCTCTTAAGAGAGACAAGCAATGTTAGGAATGAAAGGAAGTCGTCACTCGGTATTCCCCCTCCATTTTGCCTGGCATTGGATGTGGCAAAGAAACAAACCCTTACAGAAAAAAGCAATCGGTCTGCAACCAGAGGCATGCTCCTGAATCGGGAATCTAGAAACGCAACTGATAATGCCGAACAAATGTTTTCATAGTTTAACAGAAGGATATTTGACAGCCTTTAGGCCACAAACGGACCTAAAATGAAGATGCAATCCTGCACCCAGTGATGGGCAGCGTGACTTATCTTTGTCCTAGACTATGAAAGAGCACCAGATTCACAATCATCTGTTAAATAACTAACTCTGTAAGGGAGCTGAGCTTACTGCACATTCACAGCAGGTGAAAGACAACTTGGAGCTGAAGAGAAACTCCAGTTACCCACATTTTGAGTCAAACTTTGTGTAGAAAAGAGATGCTCGAACAGCAACTATTCCCATTTAAAAGAATGCCAAGGTGCCTACGCAGAGCATATGGCCTGAGCTGCAACAGCTATAAAGGAAGAGACGACATTACTCTTGCATGGAGACGGGCTCCGTTTCATAGGAAGTTACCAGTAACTGCCAACAATACTTGACTTCTATGTCACTGCAGTGTTTCTAAATTCCCAAAATTAAAGAGATGCTGATTGTGAGGTAGATTCCGAAAGGGGTTCTGCATAAAGAGAAAATAACGCTTAGAGGCTTTCTGTAATAAAATCAAGAGAAAAAAACAGGTTCTTTCAAGAAGGAAGGCATGTCTCATCTCTGCAGGAAGAAACCCTGTAATCAGAGAGAAGATCCAGCCTCAGACATCAGATCTATATTTGATGGTATCACAGGATAATTTAGGTTGGACGGGACCTCTGGAGCAGAGCCACCGTAGATCAGGTTGCTCTGGTCCATGTACTGTTGCGTGCTGAACATCTCCGAGGATGGAGATTCCACAGCCTTTCTGGGCAGCCTGTTCCAGTGCCTGACCCCTGCCATGGTGGGAACTTCTTTTCCTAATACTTAATTGGAATTTTTCTTATTGCAACTTGTGCCCATTAGCTCTTGTCCTGTCAATGGCACAGTAGCCCAACACATGTAAAGTGAATCTCAGCAGCGAGAAGTGAGAGACCCTGAAGAGAAAGATAAGGGATTGTGGTTTTTGTTTTCAGGCAGAATTGCTTTGCCTACTTCTGAAATGATTTTTCTACCCAAATTAACTATCTTCTAAGACACAGCAAGAGACATTTTTCCCTTTTAGTCGACAGCCGTGCCCCCCAGAAGTTGACTGAATGTTTACAGAATCCCTGAGGTCGGGAATTCCAGCCTACAAGAACAAGGGTCAGAACCAGTTCAAAAGCTGAAGTGTTGAACCAAACCAGTAAATTTCCCAAAGCAGAATGTGAGTAACACTGGGGATCAGCGAGGATCAGTGTCCCACATGCAAGCTGTGCATCCTCAGATAATTTAATTTTCCCACGACTCTCCTCAAAACTAGCAAAACTGGGTACTGGCCAGACAGCATATGAACTGGCTGCAAGCCCAGGAACAAGACAAGCACGCTGGGTCTGCATGCTATGGGAGAAGCTGAAAACTAGAGTACAGACTCCAGTCTGCAAGGGCTACCCATCCCTATAACTCCGACAAGACGGGGGCCAGGAGCCCTGGACGCTAGTCTCATGCCACGTAAGAGTTCACATGTACTGAGATTCCAAAATAACCTCCTGGAATTGATAGTGGAAGTAAAGGTTAGCAGAAGAAAAGTCTGGAAGAGAGGGAGAAAGGAGATTTCACTGAATGACCAAACAGAAGAATGTTCTCAAGACAGAGGCTCATCTCCACTGCGGCTCCTGAGGGGCCGGGGCAAGGCAAAGCTGCTGCCAGGAGCTGGAAGCACCAGCCTCCAGGAGCTCTGAGCCAATAAAGTGACATGAGACTCAAGAGCAGCTGAAAGAAGGCGAATGACAGTGCTGTTGGAAAGCAGTGCCTCTGCGTCTCAGGCTGCTGGGATCAGGCAGGGAAAAAGAAAAACAAATGGCGCCTTTTGTCCAGCCTTTCTCGGGCCCAACATCTTTCCAGGCTATTTCCACTCCCTTTTGGCTCCCTCATACCTTCTGTCATCTTGTGCCAGGTAGGGGAAAGAAAAATAAAGGGGAGGAGGCCAAGCACAGCAGGTGAAGTGAGGTGTCTGCTGTGCCGTGCTCCACTTTTTCCGCTTCCTGAGGGCGTGCTGATGCTTACGTACAGTCCACTGACTGTCAGCAGTTGCCTCCTGCTTCCTGAATGATAGAATCAGAGCAATGACGGTTCAAGGCTGTTACTGGATGCAATGGGAGGAGGAAGACGTGGGACAATATTAACCAGCTGCTATTACTAAAATTTGTTGGCTCTTAACACACAGAGAAACCAGATCCAATGAATAGGATGCGCTTTTTCTACAGCTACTGACTACAGTGTGAAGAAAGACTAGCTTTCTGATTTAATTCTGACCTATTTTTAATTAATTGTCATTACAGTTGCATAACAATTGCAACTGTAACTACAATTGCAATTGTACATGAACTTCCAGTTCACGAAAGCTGCACTAGTTAATGAGAGTTCCAATTACTACCCAGCCTGGACTCTGCAGTCAAATTAATTGCTGGAATAAGCAGTGTTAAATGCAGAGGAAAAAATAAGTAAGAATGTTCCAAAACCAAGATATATAGTCCTTGCTGCATGCCAGAAAATTCAAGCATGATTGTGGCTGTAAAGTTTGCAGTTCTGTTGCAGAATGTTAAAAAGTGCATTAATGATCTTGAAACACTGAGTATTTTCAGATAAATAGATGGAATTACTGCCCACATTAAGATATGCTCTATCATAGCAAGGAGTGTAATGCAAGGAATGATTACAACAATGAATAACAGTAATTCTGCTGTAACCGGAAAAAAATCCTCACAAATCCACCCATTTTTCTGATTGTCTAAAAACAAAAGAGACCACGGGGATCTCACTTTCTATCTGGGTCTGACTAACATGCAGCCTTCTCCACAGCAAGCATACATCTTTAGTAAATTTCCAATTAAAACCAAATCAAAATTAGTTAAAGTTTGCTTCAGTTTCATTTACATTTTAAAGATTTTTTTTTAAAAGATAATTGCAAATGACCTACCCAAAATGAAATCATAACCAAAGCAGTGCTCATAAAATAAAGGAGGAAAATTAAATACAGTGACTATAGGACTATTCCATAGCAATTAAACTCTGTAAGATTTGAAGCAAACATAAGTGTGCAGGTGAGAAGATCCAACTGGGTAAGCGAATCAGGGTCTTAACATTCACTTGTCAACACCTTCCAGCCTGCATTTGTGGAGGAGCACACCCTCCCCTAGCTTTAGGGAGCAGATGAGAAATTGTCCGGCTGTTGTCCTTGCCCACAAGGAGATCGTGCTGAGAAAAGAAGGGCAGCCAAGGGACTCTTGTCACAAGCAGCAAGCTCAGCCTGGGGCACCACAGAGCCCCCCGACTAAGGGCAAAAGCCATATTCCCCAGACTGCCCGGTGTGTGCTGTGCAGTAACCAGGTGCATCACAGCTGAGCCCCCGCTTCTGTCAATGCCTGCAATGACCTTTGAGGCCAGAAGGGCCCACATCCAGTGAAAAGTATGTTTTGCGCTGAAGGTCTACAGGATAGTTGGCTCAAGCAGACAAAAAGGCAGCTGGTGAAAAGCATTAGTGGCATGCTAACTAGGCAAACTAGAGTGGGGAGTGACAGCAGCCAATTCCACCTTGGCAACCTGTAAGATCTGAGGGAATGTGCTGAATGGCAACAGACCACTGTGTTGCCGGATCGTCTATACCGGCCAACCACTTAAAGCTGCATGACAGACTTCCCACCCAAATACTGCTTTGATTTTGCTCCTTCTGTTTCTCTTATTAAGGAAAAGAGAACAAGGTTACGAATCTCACCTAAGAGTGATGTGAGCAGCACCAGCAACGTGTCGGTATCTTCTCCAAAGTACGAAGCCGCACTTGTGATGTTTTCACTGTAGTTCCACAGGGTTTTGCATATCAAACAAGCCAGCTGCCAGTCAGCCGGCCCAAAGTCTCGTAAACAGTCAACTAACCTGTCAGTATCAAACAAAAACAGTGTTTTGCTCCACGTAGTTTTCTCCTGAGCCCTTCAAAATCTAGGCAGTCTAGAAATGTATGCAGACTCCATGAAAGTTTGCAGGAAAATGCTACATTAATAAACTTAAGATGCTACTTCCTTCCTCAGTAACTTCCCCCTTTTCATTTAGTCTAGTTCCCTAAGGATGTGAACATGCCTTTTGCCTACGCCTCTGTGCGTATGCCTGCCTGCATCTGTCCATCCCCTTTAACTTTTTAACCCAACTGACCAATTTCAATCACATACGTCACAAATGTGACCATCCCAAAGCCACCAAAATTCCAACAAATTTCATGACAAAATGTGACTGTCCCAAATCTGTGGCTACCACTAGAGCAGAGATTGCAATGCGAGCCAAACCTTATCAGGCACCACAAATTCATCTGGAAAAGATGGTATGAATGCAGAAAACGCTTCAGTCAGAACGTCCAGCTTATTGCACATCAGAGGATCTGACCAGAAGACAAATCCAAAGGAATTTGCTATTTCCATGGCTCACAGAATTACCTCTTACGTTCAGTGAAGTCTGACTGTTTTGCAGATCTCGCCCCTTCTTGTGTTTCCTCAGCCCGCACTCCCAATGGACTCCTCTCAGAAATGCCGGTTTTATTAAGGACCATTAGGTTCTTGACCTTTCTTCTAATCTCACTTCCTTGCAGATACCAAATGCAGGCTAGATCAAAAGCAGGACTCTGAAATTAAGCTATAACTTTTCTGCCTGCACCAGCTTACATACCGTAGCTATCCAGAGTTCCCAACAGCAGTGTTCACAAGTCCCGGGGCAGCCGAATTAAACATTGTTTTTCACCTGCTGTCCCTAGTGACCTCTCTAATAGTAATCCTTCTCTGCTGTTCTCTTCCCCAACCCTACGACCCCCTCTTTCTCTCGCTTCTCTACTTCACTGTGAGATTTATAATCTGGTGGTTACTAAAGGGAACACGGGATAAGTGTTACATTCAGGTATGGCTGAAAATAGCAGTAATTGAAAAGCAACCAAAGAGCTTTGCTTTTTCTCTCCTCTCTGAAGGCAGTCATTGTGGAAGACTGGGAGGCATCTAATGAAAAGCCAAAAGAACTTGCCCTAATTTTTTGAAGGTTAACTCTCTGATGGGACTAATTCCATGTTTTATTAGGGCCACTATATATTGGTACAATAACCTCATTTCCAAAAATCCACAGAGCTGGTTTGGCACAGTCAGGATGACCTCCTTAACCATCACTTCCAAGTTCTCTAGATTTATTCCGTACTGTTACTGTTTTTCCTTCCTTCTTCACAAACTTTCAGACAGAGTATAGAAAATTCTATAGCCTATATGATTCTGTATTTTACAGAATATTTTATATTCAATATAACAGAAATTCTATATAATAGAAATTTCTCACATCTATTACTCAATTTGCCTGTAACTTATTTTTATTCTTCTTTTTCAGCTTTATATTTTGTAAGTTAACTAGAACATGGGAAGGAAGGATAAGCAGACTATGCGTTGTTTAAAAAAGTAATTATATGATGTATGAACAGGAAAGCATTTCAAAGTTAGGCATATTGTTTCATAAATGTGGGTTGTATCTACTGCTTTACAGGCATAGGAACATGATCTTTCATGTTGCTCCAATTAAGCTGGATCCGCTATTATCTGAACATCAAAGCCACAAGTGTTGCATCCACAGTGGTTTTTCAAGATCTAATACCACTTACAGTGTAAGTGCCTTAAACTTGAACTCTCGGAGAGAAGAGTCTCGGGAGCTATTTATTCTCTGCCGGGCACAGCTACATCAGATAGTTCTCCCTGCAGTGCTAAGTAGTTACAAAAATTGCAAGAGACCATGTGGGGTATCACAGTTCTTGAAGTAGTCTTCACACTTAAAACAGATACATGTTAATGGTGCCTGTTAACTGTAGCCCACACAGGATCCAGTTAAGTCAAGCATAAGCAGGTATTGCAAAGCCATGCCTTGGTTGCTTTGTTGTATGGTACTCTCATCTGCTGTGGGTATCAGGAGGATCTTTGGGAAATTATTCTATGGTTCTTGGCTCTGCAGTAGGCTAAACCACTGTAATGCTTTTGCAAAAAACATATGAAAGAATATGAAAGGCTTTTTCTTGAAGAACATTAGATGCTGAATATCTATTAAGTATGTATCCTTAAGACAAGTTATTGGCTCCAGTAAAAAAGAATCTGATTGAAACTCTTTGGCCAAACTACTGGAACTTGCCTTTTTCGTAACCATAATCAGGAACTTACTTTCCAATTCCTCCTTCTTCCATCAGAAGAGCTCGTTTGTTCTTATCTACTGTGAGATTGAGCAGAACTCCACAGGCAGAAAAACAGACATCTTGGTTCTTGGCATCAAGTAAAGCAATCATGAACTTGTATACTGGATTGTAAAGGAAACCATATTACTGGGAAGATGGACTTATCATACAAGTGGCACCACAACACACTTATTAAACATGTATACTCAGAAAGCAGTCAAATGCAGGATACCCTACCCAAAAATTTAACTTTGTAGCATATTACTGTGACACTTGTAGAATAGGCGTATGAGCTAGAGTAACAGCTGTTACTACATCACGCTGAACACCAGCTTTCTTCAAAGCAACACGTACAAAATTCTAGCTATAAAAATACACCAAAGTAATGTGAAAATCCAATCAGAAGAGGTTAAGTTTACTGAACTGAATTACAGCTTATTTATTAAAAGTATCACCCTCCTTTCAATCGCACGGTCAGCAGAAACTGCTAGGATTTGGCACTTGGCACTCAGAGAGGGAAGTTCTTACCCCTGTGAGTGGCAGGGTTGCCCTAGACTGCACCAAGTCCAGCTGGGACTGCTGCAGCGTGGGGCTCCTGCGGGAGACAGGCAAGAAGCAGACACTGGATGTGCAGCATCTTGCAGCACTTGCTGACACTGAACCCTGTAGGGAGTGGAAGGAAACCCCAGCGAGGGAGTCGGTCTTGCCTAATGGAGAGGCAGCCTCTCAGCTCCTCCTGAGCTCGGCGCACTGACACCACAGTCTCTCCAAGGTGGAAAATTCAGTTCTTTGCCTGAGACAGCTCATCAGGAACCAGCCGCTAAGGGTCAGTTCTCCCTCTGCAGATACCTGCTCCTCCAAAAGTGGTGATATGTCCACCCTTGAAAGAAGGGTGTATACTGTATACTGTGGCATATCACCCCACTTTGAGCACTGACAGGTAGATACAAAAAATTTACGGTGAACTGGAGTTTAATTAAACCTGTGACACACCTTCTGTGGATAGCAAGGAGTTGCCATTTTTCCTAAAGCTCTTTAGACACCCAGAGCAAAAGGACTTGAGAAGACTTGTATCCTACTTCACCCAGAGGCAAACAGGAGGTCTCTTTGTTGAGGTAGTCAAACATCTTAAATGCATGTTACAAGGCGCTAACAAGCTGTCGAACATGGGAATCAAAACCTTGTGATTATGAACTAAACGAGAACTACGTTGGATTTTCATTTTATATCATATCATATATCATATCGCTACCAACCTGTAGGACTTGAGAAATTGAAGGAGTGAAGGGAAATTTCAAAATTATAATCTTTAGGAAAAACAGAGTTTTTGTAGTATTTACCTTTGTGAAGGCACACCATGGCACATTTTTCCTACTGCAATACTTCCATTTTAGTGAAATTGAATTAAAATGGTGTTTATAATGACTACTGTCGGGTTCTAACATTTGCCCAATTTGCAAAACATCAGAGAAGATTGCTTCTACCCTTTAACTGAGACAGCTTATTAACAGTCTTTCCTTTTTAGAACGATGGACATTTTAAAACAGGACTCCTACAAATGCAAAAGTAACTCACTCTTTTAACAGTCTCCTTTTTAGAACGATGGACATTTTAAAACAGGACTCCTACAAATGCAAAAGTAACTCACTCTTTTTCTGTATGATGAAGTCACAGATCTCATGATACTGGGAAAGATTGCCAAAGACTCTGACAGCCTCCACAACTCCATCCATATTGTTGCTCATTAACAGCTTTAAAAGTACTATTGGTTTGCAGAGAAATGAAATAAAAACAATTACTTGTATATCACAAACATGTGCTTGGCTTTTTATCAATAAATATCAGAATGCAAGCAGCAACAGCAATAAATGTAGTAAGCGGGAACAGTTATCTATCTGTCTGGTTGCAGTGACGGGGGTGAGCTGATGGTAGAACTAAATTGTGTAGGGCTTTGAAAATGAGACGAAGAGCTCCAATATGGGGCTAAATGCAAAGGAACGAATGAGAAGTTACGAAGATAGCCTAAGCACAGTTGTAATAATGGGAACCAGTTTTGCTATACAGTTTTGAGTGGGCTCATGTGAAAATCCAGGAAGACAAAGAAGAAAAAAATGTTGTAATATATAACAGAATTGATTTAGATCCTGAACAGATGGTCTTATGGTGGGATGTCTCCTAAAACTCAAATTCTTTTCTGACATTAGCTCTATTTCCTCTCAGTGCTGCTATAACAAGCAAACACGTTTTCTCTGAACAGCTACTTAATATTGCCCCTGGTCTGAAGCATTTACTTGCTTGCTGCTTTCCTGCTTAGCAGCTTCACATATGCTTAGTGTGTAACTTCAGCAGATAGAATGAGACCTTCAGCATTTCCTAGGAAGAGCTACCATCGTGTAGGTTTTCGGTGCACGGCCAAGGAGCGATGTTACGGAAGTTACATTTACCACTCTTCTGTGAGTATGAAGTGAACCACTGAAATCAGTCCATCATATAAAGGACTCAGATCAGTCAACCTTTAACCCTTCTACCACAGAAAAGTGAGAGAAAAAAATACAGAAAAGAGGTTGGCTTCATTGCTGTTACTTCCGTCTTTGAATGTTGCAATACTGAACATGCCTTGAACTTGTCTTAAAGAGACATCTGAAATGATTATTTTTTGTCTTTGAGATCCACCACTTGTATCAAACAGCAAGTATTCTCAAAATGTCTCCTGGAGGAGGAAGCCTGCTGGTCTTCCATCAAAATGTTTTCTCTCTCCTCAGTTCAGGCAGAGGAAAGGTGATGGGACTGGTTCCACACACTAACAATAAGAACAGGAGAGGAAGAGCGAATGGGACAGGCAGAGAAGTCATTTGTTTCCACGTTTCTCCGACTAGCAATAAGAGACAGCTGGCTTATGGGTGATAAAATGACTTGTGACAGAACAGCAGAACTGTTACCTAGAGAGAACATGATGTCTACCAGTCAGGGCACTAGGTTGACAGCCAGAATATTTTTTCCTACTCCTCATTCTACCTGCTGTGCGAACTTCAGGCTCTGTCTCTCCCCCATGTCTTGTCTATTTAGAGAGAAAGGTATGCAAGACACAGACGCTCTACCTTTTGTATAACATTAACACAATGAGTCCCAGAACTCAGATGCAGTTCCTACACATCACTAAAGTATGACTATTGTCCATACTGTCAGAGGGGAGAGAATCACACAACTCCTATACTGCCAATGGATTTATAAGCCAGAAACAGACATAAATCAGACTTTGCAGGTCTAGAAGGTACTAAGAAGAAAAAAACCTTTCTTACCATACTCTGATTAGAAGTAAAAAGCAACATGATTATTTTGGCTCAGGCATATGGATTTTGAACAAGTCTAGCAAAAATTGCTAAACAGAAAACAATATGGCAAATTCCTTTTGGGAGGAAAAGAAGGGGTTTTGTCAACAACCTAACTATTTTCACACAAGTCACAGAATTATGTTCCAAAAGAATGAGAAATCATTATGGGAAGAATTTAGCCCTATGAACTTTATATTCCTGCAATATGATACCACAAAACACTATCAGTGTCTTCATTTTCTGTAGTGTCAAATCAAAATATAGCATGAATAACTTCCACTTTCAAAAAGCTATACAAAAAGTACTAGTTTAAAAGTCCTTACTTTCAGCAATGTGTAGCTTCTTGTCTTGAACAGCAGAACTCTTCACTTTGTAGTAGGATAAATTGTTGATTGCTGTTGCAGCACTGATGACCAACTCCTCAGAGTCATCAACTGACTTGTATTCTGATAGTAAAAAAAAAAAACCAAAACATATGCATATGTAGATACACACACGCACATGAGTCTAACTTAGCAGTGCATCATATCTCAGAAGCAAACTGAATCATCGTTTACATGCCCACTATTACAAACTATTCTGTTTTTCAGTAACATGGCAGAAGCTAACAGGAACAGCTGATCCAAAAATGGCAATACAAAGTCACTCTTTCCAACTCTTCATCTACAGAAATCATTGTGACTAAGGCAACATGGTTTAAAACCTAGTTAGTTAAGACATTTTACAGATCCTATTTGCTGTTTTAAGATGGAACTGGGGAGAATCCACACGCAGAAATAGGCCCGTGTGATAGACACAGAGAAATACCAAGGACTATTATACCGAAATGTCAGGTACCATGAAAAACTGAGGGGGGAAAAAAAAAAAAAAGACTTCTTTAACAATATTTGAAAGATTCCCTCTCTCAGAGTTCCTGACAGAATGTTAACCAGTGTAAAATTACACCAGCAAGCCTGAAAGTATATCGATTTATCTGAGGTTTCTGGCCTCAGAAACCAAGAGTGAAGGAAATAAAAGAGGGGTAAGTTCATAGGGAGAGAGAACATTTTGTAGTAAACTAACTGATACAGTGCTCAAGAAGAGGGGAGGATGGCAGAGAGAATCTTTGAGGCTCAAAAGTGCTTACACAATGATTAAGACAGTTCCAACCCAGGAAGCTCCTACAGGGCTTTAAGAATGGATGAAGTTGTGAGTCTGCCTTCTCTAATCCCCCATGGCTGGTGGGTAACACTGGTAAACTAGCATATAATCAGGCTGATTGTCTTTCCATAATATTTAATGTTCTCATCACACACTAAAATATACTGAGTTCTTTGAGATGTATCTCGTCACTGCTAAACTCTGTTACGGGGAGAACAGACTGCCCAGTCCTAGCCTGTAACTAGATTTACAAAGGCATCAGTAAGTGGTAAAGGAACTGCAGTCCTAAGCCTCCATTTGGAGGGAAAGAGATAAAGGTTGGAAATCTGAAAAAGAAGAAAAAATAAGAGGAAATTTTTCAAGGAGGCTGAAAGTTATGAGTGCAGGGAACAAAAAGAATACTTAATTCAGAACAGTCACAAAACCTGCAAACCTTAAAAAAACCCCACCACTAAACACATCTATGTAGCACCTGGTAAGAACAGACTTCCCTTCTATATGAACTCTCAGTGAGATGTTTGCTTATCCTTAATGATCATATCTGCCAATCTGATCACTGAATTAAACACTTCTACAACATCTTTCCCCAGACACTGAAAAGTCAGTACCAAAGCAGCAATGCTTCCACTGTCTCAAACAGGCTTTCTACATAAAACAGTTTATGAATATCAGCTGACTGACTTTGTTATTTTAGCAATGGAACCGATTTAGTTATGGCTCAACCTAGATAATAAGGTCAAGTAGAAAAATCCTAAACTCTCCTTACAGACTGAACAAAGACAACAAACACAACATTGATTTTATTACCTAGTACTGTAACAAGTAATTCTACAACACGATGGGCAGCTGCCAGAGCTGCTCCTACGCTGGGATGAATGGAGAGATTGGCCAGCACTCTTATCAGTTTTATCAGAACATCTTCTGCTTCTGAAGGATGCTTTGGGCGTTTTTTTCCTTCCCCTCCTCTTTCATGGTACCATTTCTGTGCATTCAAATCCAGTTCACGGTAGGTTTGGAATAATGATATCAAGGTGTTAACACTTCCTTTTTCTTTAAAGAATTGCTCACGGGCCTGGTTATTCTTTGCTGTTAAATTACCAAGAATGAAGATGATACGGATAACCAAATCCTGCAATAAAATAAATAAACCATATTACACGGAAAACATCAGAAGCTATTAGCTGCTTAAGAAGAAGATAATACTTAATTTACTTCACAATTCAGTTAATAGCAGGTCCAGAACAACTGAAGGAATGCCAAATACAGCAAGTAGGAATAATTTTTTATGCTACTATTTTTCATAACCCGGTTTACAGAAGAAATCAAAAACATCTGACAGAACTAGTATAGCATTGGGGTAATTACTAATGGGATATACTTGGTATAGGTCATCTATTTCTACCAAGCCCACAGTAATCTCAAAACATCTTAAAACAGCACTTTATAGAACTAGAATAATCATACGGGCCAGAGCTTACTAATCTTTCAGGTAAGCAAGTGTCAGTTGTGATGGCCAAAGACCACCACCTTCTCTTCTTCTCTAGGCCTGTTACCCATTGTAGAGGTTAAACTACTTCCCCTTGATTTGCTACTGTTAAATCCATGATAGCTCTTACTCATTTCCTTGTTAAGTTCAATTGCTTGCAGATAGCTGAATTATTTGTTCCAGATTTTTACCAGAAATGTAATCTAAACTGACCGGTCTGTTATTCCCCAATTCCTCCTCTTTCTCCTTTTAAAGACAGGTGCCCTACAACCTTGCAATCCTACATAACTTTTCAAGAATCCCAGAGACATTACCCTTTTCTGTCCTTTTGTAAGCATCAAAGGGTAAATTTCATCAGGCCTAGCTGGTTTGAAGGCACTTAAATATGCTCCAGCTCATTAAAATAGTGATTAAAGAACTCAGGCTGAAGTAGAGATTAATCATTTGATCATACTTAACCCTTTCAGAAGAAGAAGCAAAAAAAGGCATTCCACACTTCACTATTCACAGTGGCACCTGTCGATAATTCTCACCTTCTTCTGAACACTGCAGCAACTATTTCCTTGTTGTCTTCGCACTATTAATGTACTATAGAAAGTTTTCTTGGGTTTTTTTAATGTCCCTTTCTAGTTGCATCTCATTTTGTGCTTTTTTTCTGACTTTGATTTTACGTGTTCTTGCTACCCTTTTATTCTTATCATTGCTAAATGAGACCTACTTTCTATTTTTATACGGTATCTGAGATCTTATGATTTAACCAAGCTGCTCTCTTAAAGCACTTTCTATCCCTGCCCTTCAGTGGGATACAGAATCACATCTCTTGTTGCTTCATTTTGGACATACTGAGAAACAGCCTTTTTTTGGTAAGACTAGTGGATCCTAACTGAATGGCATTCAACAACATCCCCTTTTATTTTCTTACCCACCCGTATAGAATAAGAAGAAAATAAATTCTGAAAGTCTGAACTAACCCAAGTATAAACCAATTAAAACATTCGCCTCTGTCACTTGCATCAAAACATACTCAGTTCCAAAAAGGAAAGTCCATAGCTTTATCTTAACAGTACAGGTAAAGGAACAGAATTTCTTCAAGCACAGCACAGCCATCTACCCTTAGCTGCTAAACTGCTGTACTTGCACTAGCCTAGAATTTTGCTAAACAATTTACATGCTGTTTTTCTTCAAATATAATAGCTATATTCACAGATATTCTAATCCTCCCTGGTATTAATAACATAAGTTATCCAGGCACAGTCCAACTTGTTCAAGTATACATACTAATACTGAAGGAAAAAGATGTGTAAGCAGCAAATCCTTCTTTCATACATGCCTTCATCAGTAAGTTTCACGTCCTAAGCCTCTGCCACAAGACACTGGCAATAACATCCTCCTAGGGTCAAGAAGATGAATGCTATCCCTGCGTATGAGAAGCGGGCAGACTCCTAAGTGAGGAATAGGTTCTCGCATCCACGTATTTAATACAATCACTCCGTAGGACCCACTTCCACTTTTTTTTAACTAGGCATCATATTTTTGCTAGCATTTAAATGTCATCCATACAAATTTTTATTAACACTCTTACTGACTAACCACTAAGAGCTTTCACCTTTGCTGGCACAACCCCCAATTCACAAAGGCTGTAAGAATTTGAAACAAACAACTGATGAATCAGAAGAGAGAACTGAAAAAAGCAGGCAGTCTAGTTTGACTCGTTCATATTGACTTTCTAATTTTGGTCAAAACAGTATCAGCCCAGCAACAGCTCTACCCAATCAGAAAACAGACAAACAGGTACCGTACAGCAATCAACCGATATTTTGAGAAGTGTGATCTCAACTGTGCTTTCCACCTACAGGCTAGCAAAACAAACTTATAAAATACTTCTTTTTAGCTAAGCACATCCGGTTTTAATAGCATATTACCAAAGTTTCATTATCTTCCAGTGAAAATTTAACTAGCAGAGTCAAAGAGAAAAGCTGATACAACTTCTCCTGAGTAGTATAGTACTCAAGGGTTTGTATTATTTTTGGCTATGTTTTTTTTAAATGCTCATGGGGTAAGCACTGCAAGAGTAAGAAACACCAGCTTAGAGTTGCTGTGTAAAGAAATACATGTAAAGATGAATGGCATTTTGAAACTGCTTGCGAGACTAAACCTGTACAAGGCCCATGGGCTCTTCTGTACATAACGAAAAAATCAGTATAATAAATGAGATGATTATGCATCTCCAAGTGTTTGGAGTATTAACTGCATATGGAATTTCAGACATTCTTGCACACTTACAGAAAAATTACATTTCTCAGATTAATTTACATAATATGGAGGTTTTAACACGTATGACACTAAAGACAAATTAGATTAAAGATAGGAAGTACACTCAGTTGTTTCATCTTTTTATAACGAGGCATTCATGTGAGACATGCTGTCCAGAGAGTATACCCAGACTTGATTGGAAGATTATATATGAGACCACACAGCTTCACTTACACGAACAAATTTGAAGAAACATACCAAGAAAAGCTCGAGAAGGAGAACTGATCCTTTTCTTTGCTTCCAATCCGTGATGAAACTGTGGTATTTTTGTTTTTAAAGCTGTAATGGCACCACATACTCCATCAGCATTTAATTCTTATTTTTCTGAACAACTGGAACATATACATTTGATCCCTGATATGAAAAATTTCTTTACTTACCTACTTCTAAAAGTTTATTCCTTGCACTGCCCTAGTAGCAAAGGTACACAATGTACTTGCTGAGTCACAGAACTTGACAGCAGTTTATCTTGGCAATTAAAGTGTACCTGCCTTTCAGTGTAAAGCATGATGAACAGAGGTACAAATAGTACAAGTTTACTTATCAGTAGAAAAGGAAAGCCAATTAGGTCAGTAATTTCTAACTAAAATGAGATAAATAAGGGAGGGGAGTCCATTCAGAGTTTGTACACGTTGGCCAAGTACCTGTTGTTAGTCTGTTTGGTGTCTGGACCCTCAAAAGGGGAGGGGTAGTATGAAACAAAAATTCAGATGCCAGCAGCCGAGTTCCTATTGAATCTCCAGCTGTAAATAAAGTGTGCTTTCCATGTTACACAAACTTCAATGGAGGTACTCAAAATTCTACCACCTGCCCAGCAGTATGAACTGCTTCTCATTCAAATCTAATTTACACTTCATTTCCAAATTTGTATTTCTGCTTTATTATGTACCTTGGAAAGAAAATTTGAGAGTTTTCTTTGCAGGGTCTGATAGTCTACTTATAGACAAAATAACAGTAGTTATGCCATCCTGGAGCTAATCTCTTCCAAATGCAGTAAGGATTCATCTTGAAGTGACATTCTGGCTGTGAAAATTCCTGGTCAAACCCAGAAATAACAACTGACCCAAAATGAAACTCGATTTAAAGAAGAAAAAAGGAGCGGGGTGGGGGTGGGGGTGGAGAGTGTGCGTGTTGACCGAGGGACCTGAAATAAGGAGCAGAGAGGAGAAGCTTTGCCACAGTGATCGCAGGGAGTACTTTGTCAGTAAAGAGGGAACCTCCTTCCCCTGCAAATATGAATGCATTTGAGGAGAAGGAGAGGCCATTAGAAGAATGTAGTTATATTTCTGTGTATCACACGCCACAGGACCCTACCCAGTAATTTCTACACCCAAAAATCTGATCTGTTTAGGTAAACTTTTCAGAAAAGGGTTCATTTGCACTTAGTGACTTTTAGCAATGAAGAACTCATGTCCTTAGGTTTGTTTGTGGATATCTGGAGATCTGGGAAAGGTAACGAAGAAAAGCAAGCACGTTGTCACCAGAACATCATTTGATGAAAAGTAGTGTACACTCTCTAACAAAAAACATTTCAGAAATCACAAATTGAAAAAAAAGTTAAAAACCATATCCCCCACGGTATTGCTCCAAAGATTACTGATCTTCCTGGTTAAAATCTTTATTCTTATTACTAGTTTAAATTTGTACAGCTTCAGCCACTATTTCTTATTATCTCTTTTTTCCTAGATTAAAGGATGGTCTACTAACAGAAATGTCTTCCTTGTGCAGATTCTATTAATAGGCATCTGGCTAATGGTCTGACCTTTGTCATTGATAAATTAATTAGCTTAATGTTGGGGGATTTATTTAACTCTCATCATTCTTTTAGCTCTTTTCAGAGCTGTTCCCAAGCTTTCAGCATCTTTTGTAGAAATTGATACCAAAAGCTAAGGCAAAATATTTTAGTGACAGTGTCTGTCACACCAAGCAGTAATATCTTCTTATTATTATTTTATATTCTAATGTTTACCTATCTAGTAATTACATTCATTCTCTTGTATCTTTTGACACACCAGAACAGCAGGTTTCTATATGATATATGCCAATGAAGACTACCAACTTTGAGCTCTACATTCCTGATCATTTTATATTCATAGTACATATCACATATTCTGCACTTTCCTTACCACTCTTGTCTTTTCTTTCAGACAAAAAAAAAAGAAAAAAAAAATCACAACCAGAGTATTAGGAAGATGCAAACACACTATCAGCTCAGCATACCGTCAGAAATCATACTGTAGGGAAAGGGTGACCTTCTGTGGTTATTCAGATTTATCAGCAGGAAAATTCCTTCAGAGTTGTCAGAATATTTATCCTAAAATGGATACTTC